TAGCTCATGAGTGAGCTCCAGTGGATGCAAGTGCTTTCTAAACAACCCTGGAAGACTAGGGACAACAACTTCGAAAATGCCATTTAAACAATCGACAAATACAATGAAATCATCGACAAACCTTAAGACTTTCACAACGAGAGACAAGTTGAGATCTTTTTCAATAAGGCGATCCTTATGTGCGAGCAAAACGTCGCTCAATACTGGTACCAAACCTATGCAAATGCCACTTTTTTGGACGAAAGGTTGCTCATTCCAAGACGCAATCATTCACTTTAAATAAAAGGAAAGCGATTACAGAAAACCACTGACAGACATGCCTGACGCATTTTGGAAGTCTATCCACCCAAAGGAATCAATGCGTTCCTCTAGGCACTGGAGCAGTGCATTATATGGAAGCGAATAATACAAATCTTTTACGTCTATCGAGAAAGCCTTCAGTCTTTTGTCATTGGTCTTTAAAAACTTAATGGCTGGGTCAGAGTCTTTTTCCAGAAAAGGATCGTCAATAGTTAGTAAGTTTCGATGTTTTTGTAAAAACAAGGCGACCTGTTTTTGCCAAGTGCCGTTTTCACAAACTATTACCCGTAGTGGGCAGTCAATTCTGTGGGTCATAGCAGTAAAAACGATGTCAAGACTTAGCTTCTTTGACTTGTCAATTAATTTTGCAACTCTATCGAGGCCAACGTTCCTAGAACTAGGTAAGTTGCAAAACTAAGCCCTGTTGCGCGGCGCCGCCACTGCCAGAGACAAATGTGGCACTGCTGTCGCAACTGGATTCACTCACTGCATGCTCGCACATGTCACTCCTGTAACCTCCATTGGCTGTGCATGTTGCAGTGCATCGCTATCCGTGGAGGCTTTTTTCTGCGTGAACAGTTTCGTGCTTCAGCATGCCCTGTTCTGCTTTGTATGTGTTGCGTGTTTTCATCATGCCCACACGTTGCGTTCCCGGTTGTACGAGTGGCTACCTTTTTCACTGAGTTTTCACTGAGAAGAACATCTCAAAGCTGACTTTTTTGCAACTTTCTATCGCCTTTAAAGGCTTTTGAAATCCTGAGGCACCAGTGAGATTTTTCACATGCTTCTTAAGCTTAACCAGACAAGTCTCATCATTCTGGTTGAAAACCGATTGCACGTCCTGTACAGCTTTTGCCAAAACATGTGTGGGAGAGGCCTATATCAGCCAAACCACCGGTGTGTAATTGACCGCATCCAAAAGCACCGAAATCACGTGCACAATGTGGTACAAGGACACCTTGGCATCCATTGTTGGGATTGTGGTAGCATCCCCCTCTTCGATTGGTGCGCAAGAATTGCAAGGCATACAAATTGGCTTACCCACGATATTATTAAAGCGTAAAAAGTTTACTTATTAGGTGAAAATTGCATAAGCTACCCATCAGTTCCTTTATCGCAGTTAGAATGTGATTACCTGGGTAGCTTTAGGGCACTCAAGGACCTGTCACATGTGTTTTGATACTCGCACCCTGATTAGGCTTGTCTTTTATCTCCCTGTTCTGTAATGTCCTTTACGACACATATGTTTTGCCACTCTGCTAAATAAAGTTAGTTGAAAGGCAGCGCCCTTTTTGTATACTCAGTCTTTTTTTCCTATGTTCTCGCACTAAAAAAACTTGCCAGTATCTTAGCAGTGGTAGCAATGATCAACCCATTAAGGCCCATGGAAGAACTACTTTTTGAATTTCATTGATATTTTCCACATTTCATTAGCTACAATACACAACATGTGCAGTTTCATAAAATTTTATGAATTTTTTTCAGACGTTATCATACTGTATTTTATAAAGTATGCTGGGCTCTCAACATAGCAACGGGCAAGGTGGCGTAATAAAAGAATGAAGAGTACGCTAGGCCCTTGCTAAACGAATACCAAAATTATCTGGGCCCATGCAACATTATATATATATATATATATATATATATATATATATATATATGATGTGTGTGTGTATGTAGCACCAGTGCTTTATGGAAAGCGTAATGTCACGCTTCCCAGAACATCATTTCGATGTATTGTGGCAGACCTCAATCGTTTTCCAAGAGTCTTGTAAAAATGTCCATATTTAAAGAGGGTAACAGCAAGTACAGCAGAGCCCCGCCACGGTGGTCTAGTGGCTAAGGTACTCGGCTGCTGACCCACAGGTCGCGGGTTCAAATTCCGGCTGTGGCGGCTGCATTTCCGATGGAGGCGGAAATGTTGTAGGCCCGTGTGCTCAGATTTGGGTGCACGTTAAAGAACCCCAGGTGGTCGAAATTCCGGAGCCCTCCACTACGGCGTCTCTCATAATCATATGGTGGTTTTGGGATGTTAAACCCCACATATCAGCAAGTACAGCAGATGCTGGAGATCTCTTTATCCGTCTGCTGAATACAACAAGGTGCACTCAGTGTCTCACTATCATGCGACTAAAGGAAAATAGTCAACTCGGAGAGGTACTGCTAAAACGTCCTGCGGAGTAGGAGACCCTGTATGCCTTGTGTGCAGCCATTTTGATCATCTGTGTAAATAGAGGCTAGTACCATTTTTTTTTCGGGAATGAAAGTTCTTCAGTTATTCGCAGCTTGATTGAAGATCTCAATCTCTTCCATGCCATTGTTACTGCTACTTAAGTGGGTTGGCAGTGGCGCTACATTTTTTTTTTTTTTTCTGAATGGCCGCCTGGTTACAGAACATACAGCGACTACACTGTGTCGTTTGTCAGCATAACAACTATGCTGTTGCCTTTGGCCTTTATGAAAGAAAACTTGTTTTCTGGATCAAAACAGAAGCTGCATTCTTCACATTTCTTGCATTCCATGCTTCTTATTGTTGGCAGAGAGCATCCATGCTTACTGCCAACATTGTCCTCCTCCTAAGTTCACATGTCAGGATCAGATGTGACAATCGAAAGATTGATGGGCATTCGTATATTCACAGTGGCATCTGTCAGAGCCTCAGGAGTCTCGGATAACCGAAAAAATGGCATCCTTCCCAAAAAAGTAGCTGGTTTAATCTCTGAGACAATGCACAACAATAGTCACATGAATGCTTCCACGAAGTCCCATTGTACTATGCAAAGTACACCCACATTTGATTATGCCTCAGAGCAAAACTATACACTCAATATACACTTTGCAGAAATTTTGTTGTTCTTGCTAAAGCACGAGCCATTCATTTTTTCAAACGTATAAATTCCAAAACCTCAAATCAATTTATAAAAAGAAATACTGGACTACGTGCATTCGATGGACTCTCATTTTCTTTGAGTTTAATGACTAATAGAATAGAAAAAATAGATCTGAGACAATATGCCAAGTTAGGGTCATCTTGTGCAACTTTTTGTGCCCGAAAGTTCATTGAGCAAGATCGTAAAATCCTGTTGTGTATTTTATATTCCTGAAAAAGGAAGTGTACTTAGTAAAATACTTTACACCTTAATAGGAATGAGGTATGTTGCATGCATGACACACCTAAGGTTAGAGATACAAAATGATAGAAATATGCACATCACAGTTAATACGATCGGTAAGTTGGGAGGAGGGTTAAGACATGTTACTTTGGCGACGGTCATGCTGGTACATTTTGATAGCTAATATAGTGCAGAAATTGTACAATGTTACTATGTTTCATAAAGCTAGAGCAGTACACCATGGCAGTATTATTCTTTCATTTTTCTTGTTTACAACCACACGTATTGATAAAAACAATAAATTACACTGCCTCATCAAGAAGCAGTGATGGTGATGACTGGTGGTTATGTCAAGGATAACTGTTCCAAGTTAGTTTAGTGTTTTTATGTTATCTGTTCTTTTTGCCTGCACTGAACTCTGAAATAGTCATTCCCAGCAGGTACCCACAGAACTTCATGTTGTCAACCTGAATTATTGAAACAAAATTGCTACCAATTGACCATTTACAAAAATCTGCAAGGCAGCTTTTCTGCAAGGTTGTTTTCCAACCAGAAGCTCTTGTTCACAGGCTGCTTTTCTCGCTCAATGTGTTTTTACTTTTTCCCCACTCGCCACCCCCTTTTCACGAACGACAGAGGCCTCGTCTACCATACATACAATTTGAGGGTTCGTTTGTGGTGGGACAACCCCAGAGTAATGGTTAAGGGAGGGGGGGGGGGAGCAGTATTTCGTTGTACTCGCGTGCCTTCACAGGAATAAGAGAGGTAAAAGCCCACTGAGCGAGAAAAGCAGTCTGTACTCAAGGGTTTTTGGTTGGAGAACAACCTTGCAGGAAATCCACCTTGCAGATTTTTTGCAAATGATCAATTCCAATTTAACGAAGTTTTTCCTGAAATGAGTGAAAAAGCAGTGATCTTTTCTCCTTTAAAATGGCTTCCTCATTCTCACTCCCATTTCTGAAAAATGTTTATTTCTCCTTTCACTGTAAATTCTTCCTTAGGAACATCACGTTGGTTTTCGGTATTTCATGGATTACGTGACTGCACTAATAATCTCCTCTAAATTATCTTGCAAAGCCTGCTTGTGGAATCGCTGCATTCGCTCCCAGTTTTTTAATATCCACAAACAGTTTACCTGGCCTCCATGGGAAGTTCCATGTCCTGACCACCTTCACAGACTGTTCAAATGTGTAGGCAAGTGCTAGTAGCCAATACAATACCAAGGAAGTGCCGTTTTGCTGCAATACGATCTTAGATTTCCAAAGACTAAATTCCTTTCTCGATTTTACAAATTCTGATGTAATGAAATAACTTCTTAATTCACCAAACCGAGTTTCTGCTGTATGTCTTTTTTACAGGTGATCGTTATGTATTAATACTGTATAACATAGTTTATTTGCAATGTATATATTTTTTGTTGTATTACCCCCTTCACTCAGTGCCTCCCATGAGGCCTGTTACCTTTAAATAAGAAAAGCTCTTCCTCAAAAAAAAAAGGGGGGGGGGGGGGTTTCTGTAAACAACCTCAGCTACCCACAAGGCCTTGGTGGGTGCCTTGGTATGCAAAATATGTGACAAGGCTAACAGGTGTATGAAAACTCCTGCTTTAATCACAATAATTCAGCAGTTGCGGCATTGTGTACTTGATTAAAAAAACATCTAAACAGACTCCTTAACAACATATTTACAGAACAAATGTTGTGCTCCCTCAAAAAGACTAGACAGTTTATAAGAACCAGTTCACTTGAAAGGGTCAATTCAACAGCTGTTCTCTCACAGCAACTGCAATATACAGCTTTCAAGTGGACATGGCATTGACCATGAAGATTAGCCACGCTATTCACAAGTCATAGTTTTCATCAGTCTTTTCTTGCTTTTCTTCTTCTGCAGTCAAGTCTGCACGGAAAAAGATGCGTGCACTGCTCAAGGAATAGTTAAGAAGGTCAAATTCATGCCGGTAAGTATCAAGACGCTTTCCTGTTAGTGACATGGCTTGCTGCAACTTTTCATCTTCTTTGCCAGCTGCCTCTTTCTTCTGCTCTCTGACTTGAGCAGTGTCTTTTTGGAATTTCTCAGACACCGACTGAAACCAATGGAGTGAGTCAAAGTCTTGATACTGGTCCAGCAGCTTCAAGATGTATGCCACACCCATGGCAAAGCCATCATCAGTGAATGCTGCCCCAACTTTGTTTTTACGACTCATCCTCTCTTTGCAGGAGACTGCGTGCTCAACGTAGTTGAGGGTTAGTGGTGGGAGAATGACAAAGAAATTTCTCAGGTGCATGTTGCTGGGATCCCGGAAAGTGGGAGAGAAGACATCAACCAGCAGGCGAAAGTACTCGCTGCCCTCGGAAAAATTTTTGGCTAGGCTTGCGACTACAGCGTCCAGCCTGCGGGCAGCTTCTGTGCAGTCATCATCCAGCAGTGCTTCTCGAGACAGCCCTTCAAAGTTAGCTACATACTCCAGGTCAGGAACGAACTGGATAGCGTTGCTGCAGCAGTGAAGCCCACCTGACCGGATCATGCGTACATATCCCATTGCATTGCCTACCTGGCTCACAAGAGTGCGAAACTGGTCCAGAAAACTTTCACCATCGGGTGTGAGGCCCAGCTTGCGGATGCCACGGTTGAACTTCTCGGCGCGGTCAAATGGATACTTTGGGTCACTCTGGCTCCGGAGCTCTCGGAAGTGCCTTAGGTCTTTGACGAGTCGAGACTTGATGTGTTCATCATATAAAAATTGGGAAAAAATGTAGAACTTCTTTCGCAAAAACTGGTATGTGAAATTGACTGTTGTGTTCATGATGCCTATGCCATGTGTACGAATGGAATTGGCGATATGCCTAATATTGATAGTGTTCAGATGCTTGTTGTTGCTAGTGCGTTCGACAAAAATCTGGTTGTTCAGGTTGTAGTAATAGCGAGAGACAAAAATGTGGATGTTGCGCATTATTTCGAGCACATCCAAACCTTGCTCTAAAGTTTGGCTAGGAAGATGGTCTTCAACAGTAGTTAATCCATATTTCTGCCGTGCCATGCTACGCATCTCGCCGTAAGTCTTCCAGTCGTGAAGTGCCACTGTTGTCAGGTTGTAAAATGTTTTGTCAAGGTAGTGCTCCACATAGGCCTTGACATTGATGACCTGGCCAAACAGTCTAATGGGTCTTATATGCAATATTTGGGCATAGTCCTTCAAACCCACACGGAATGGATTTCTATCATCAAGTTGAAGGTGGCAGTGTGTCTGGAGACGCAAATCTGTTTCGACGTCTTTGCAGAGCTTGTCCAAAATGTGTTCTTTGAATTGTTCATATATTTCTTCTCTAAAGCTGTCCAGGATGGCCTGGGGATGCGAGTCATGTTTTGTGGTTTTAATTGCTTTGGCAGTGTCCTTCAATGCTGCAACAACATAGTGAATGCGATGACCATCCACGGCACTTTCGTATACATCATCTAGAAAGATGGGAAATACAACTCTGTGCCAGTACAAAAAGCTCCCATCTGCCCCTTCTTGAAGTTTTTCATGTAGCTCACCAATCAAATCGAGCTTTCGCATCACAGAATAAAAGGAGGCAATTTCTTCATCCTTGAAACATTTCATCTGCACTCCAACAGCAATGGCGAGGTGGATGATTAGTCGTCTTTCCTTTGTAGCTGGGCCACTCAGGCACTTCTCAACAAGCACAAGTGCTGAGAGAACATCTAGTCTGCGTTCACTGTACTTCTTGTCAGAAATGAGCCTTTTCTTAGCATTACTTACAGCAAACAGGGCAACATAGGTCAAGTGCTGCACAATGTGAGTGACAGAATCGCATATTTTCAGTGTTTGCTGATGGAACATGCCTTGAATGGCTTTTGTCATCTCAATCATCTTGCATAGTTGCAGAACAGATGACTTTGTCATTGGCTTGTTCAATGCTACATGCAAGTTCATGAGAGTTTTTACCTGATGAGAGATGTACCATGTCAAATAGATGCCCTGAAGCAAGAGAGAGCTACGGTGATTCAAGTCCTCAAGCAGTTTGTCTGTATCCTTTTGGAAAACTGACTCCATGCGAAGAAGCCAAGAAGAAACCTGCACATGGAGTGCCTGAACATCTCTTGACAGCACTGCAGATTTCTGCTGAAGGTAGCCAAGCCGCTGAGTTTTCACAGCATCTTGTGCCTTTTTGTCTAAGGAGCGCATAACCTGAGGCATCTGTAGCAACAAGAACTGGTCTGGAAACCACAAAATGTTGCCTAAAATATGCACTGCTGGCACCTTCTTGTAAACATCCCACAAAGCTTTGAAAAATTTCTTGTCAATGTTTCTGTAAATGTAGTAGTAAAGAACATACAGCGCATATATTCCAACAAGCTGCTTGCGTTTATCCATTTCGTTTGTTTCACCAATCTTGGCATCAACTTGTCCAAACCAATTGCGTATGTTGAGTGCAAACTCCTCAGCAAAAGCACCATTTTTTGCCACGCAAAGTGTGTTGTCATCAAAGCCTTGCTCTACGCAACCCATGAAAATGCGACCTTGCAAGAGCTTGTACTCTAAATCTGCCATCAATTTGTCCAGAGCTTTCATGTCTTCCGGTACAACACTAAACTTTGCACAATTGTTATGTACAGACTTGAGCATTCTTCTGTAGAGCGTCCAGTGCTCACGGAGGACCCCTTGCGCTTGCACAACCTCGTCAAGGGTCACGAGCGACGCGAGCATTGCGCCCAAGTGCTCAAACACTGTCTGAAAGTGCACATCTGTCACATCGATGACGCAAGACGCCTTACTCCTGTCATAGAGCGCGGACATTTGCTGAATGACATTTTTTGCAACTAAGTAGCACCGGCTTACGTGGCAAGACAGATCCTGCATCAGGCCGATCATTCTGCCTACAGCGACCTGCGCTTCGCCGTCAGGCACGCTGTTGCTGGAAAGACTTCCTTCGCCGTAAAACAGGAGTGCATCGTGGAACCTAGATTTCGCTTCATGACAAAGCTGCTTCATTTCTGAGCACAAGGCTGCGAGAACAGTCATCACTTTGTTAAGGACCTTGTTGTCAGTAGAAATAAGCTCCAGGATAGTGGTGTTCTCGTAAGGCACCCACTGCAGCGCAATCAGGTCAGAGTCTATGTCCCATGCTTCTGTGATTCCCTCGTCTAACGATTGTTCAATAGTTTTATACTCAGTGGTTAGATCTTCCATAAACTTGCCATATTTGCGCAGTTGCAGCTGCCCTACTATTCTGACGACTCCCTCGTCGATATCTTTGTCCCAGCGCTCTCCAGCCATAGCTCGGCAAAGAGGGACACTTCCAGATACTCAAGGTTGATTTCAACAAGTCGAAAAATATCGGCCGTCCTTGCAGTTCAGTCCACAGTGCAGGAATTGCTGCTCACATCACAGCGACGTCGGCAAGTCGCCCCATCAGGGACGCTGGTGACGCCTACCAACTTCAGTCGCACGCAGTCGCACGAATGCCACGGCGCTGCCACAACACAATAACGATGAAAGTCAGCACCCAGGCGTGCGGCAGAAGCCCTAACAGGACTTCGTTATGCACTAGCTTCAGTTGCAGAACAGGCTCCTGCAACGCTTTGCGGACGCGATACCGCCCATCAGAGACGGTGGCTTGTGACGACTCGGCGCGATGGCGACGGCGCACAGCCTTGCGGCCTTACATTAGCCAGTCGGTAGAAGCAACGCCTCCTCTAGAAAGATGCCTGAGGAATGGCTCGCGCTCCCAGCGGAGTTGGCCTGCCTTCAGTTTTAAAGAAGCTCCGCGCGGTGGCGCTCGCGACTGACACTAGCCTGACACTGACACTTGGTTCAGTTCGGGCTGTCAAGGTGGATGGACGTGTTTTTTGAGCGGTCCGGATCGACTGCGCAGATAAGTGTTTTAGATGCGGAAGCATCTTATACTCGCGCCTTGTAGTGCGCCGTCCGCGCCGTCCGCACCGCTTCTCAAACATTCGACAGCTGACGCGCGCGCATGCGCCGTCGCGCCGTCGCCCACTCTTCCACCATCTGTGCATCCCTTCCTCCTCTACACACCGCGCGCGCTTCACTCCTCCACCATCTGTGCACCCTTCCTCCTCTACACACCGCGTTCGACATCTACAATTCTCCTGATTCTCCAGTGGACGCGCATGTGGCGTCGCGCTTCGAGAACATTCAACAGCTGACAGTGCATGCGCCGTCGAGCTGTATATATACTCAAGGTCGGCGCTCGCTCGCTCAGTTGCCGCTCGTTGGTTGGTTTGTACGGTGCGTCGACGTCCAAGGTCGCGGTGAAATGAATTCCAACGAATCCACAAACACAATGATCGACGTCCCTTCGACCAGCGCCGCCCTTTCGCATACGTGTGTACGTGTTCACTCATTTAACACCCCCTCCTACAACCACGTTAACCAATTTAGCCATCGACCCAAGTAAGTCGCAATTTAACACCCCATTTCACAACCACGTTAACCAATTTAGCCATCGACCCAAGTAAGTCGCACTTTAACACCCCGTTAACCAATTATATGCTCCGCATCCTCCTCAGTGTTCCCCCGAGGGAAGCTGCGGGCAATTTTTTGCATGTTTTGAGCTTGTCTTTATAATTATAAGGCAGCGGTTGAAATCTTCGTAGCACTTATTTTATGGTACGGCTTTTTCGGGGGCCAGTCACCAGGTATTTATTAGTTAGTGCGGGTGTGTGTGTGTTTGAATTTTTTTGTTGTTTTTTTCTTTTGCCACCTCGTGGGGGAGGTGCGCGTACATTGAACACGCAAATTTTTGTAGTAGAGCTTAGACTTTCTTTTTTTTTCTCGTAGTGCAGGGCTCGAGTTTAGTAATTATCGAGTATAGGGACAATTGGTGTCAGAAAGGCATGGTTAAAAAGACTGTAAAGTGTTCAGGATGTGGAGTGGGTTTGAAAGTGGACCCAAGCGTAGAAGCGGATGGAGAAGAGGCTGACGCGAAGTGTAGGCAATGTGAGGTCGAGGAAAAAATTGATAAAATGATGGTTGCCCAGAGTGAACTGCTGATGAGAATCGCCGAGCTCGAGACTGCGTTGGTGACAGAGCAAGAGAAAACGAGGGCAATGGGAGAAAGACTGAAGTCCGCCGAGGAAGCACTAGCGAAGCTGAACAAAGAAGCGACCTACCGAGAGAACAGTAGGGAACCGGCAACCAGAACGGTGGAGAAGCAAAAGCAAGCAAGTTTGGAAAAAACAGGTTTAGCCGGTTCAACTGTCGCAAGGCCCAGCTTCAGCGAGGTAGTGGGGGCACAGGGAGGGAACAAAGCAGCCGGCGTCACAGGTGCAAGTAGCCCCCTGGTGAAGAACGCTCAAGCTGAAAAGTCACAGCATGTGATAATCGTCGGGGACTCGAATTTAAATCGATGCACAGAAGCCATCAAAGAGAGGGTAAGAGGTGACAAGAGGGTTGCAGTAGGGGCGTTCCCAGGACGCAAGCTGGAAGCAGTCATGAGGCAAGCAAGCGCAAAGCTCAAAACGACAGCTGATTGATGAAACCTCGTGATAATTTCAGGCGGTTTAAACGATGTCCTAAACGAAGATGCAGCAGGACTAGCAGCCACACTGGCGAAAGGCGTCGATGACATGCGCGCCACTTCTCCTAAGGTACAGGTAGTGATATGCACGATACCGGAGGTACCGGTGCGTGATAGCAACCTGCAAAGAACGGTGGTCAACGCAAACCAAGAGATATGGTGGATGAGTCGAGAGAAAGCCTTTGAGGTGGTGGAAACAAACAGAGAGGTGCATAGGTGGGGTGGTTTTCAACGAGACAGAATTCACTTAGATGGGCGGCTAGGTCATGAGGTGGGTTGGCGACTTGCAGGCCACGCAGTAGCTTTTTTGGGGGGCAAGCGAGCCCTTCGGTGTGCAGGATAGCTAGTAACGAAGAAAACAACCAGGGAGACTCTTGGACAGGTGGTATGGACAGATACGATTCCAAAGTGGCACCAATATCTGAGATAGGTAGAGTCCGGGGCATAAATAGACGTAGCCACGAGCGCCGAGCCAATTCAGACATAGGGTATATTAACATGCAGGGTGGTAGGAACAGGCTGAAGTGGGAAGAGATAGAAGAACAGCTAAGGGAAGAGAGGCCGATGGTATACGGTTTTGTAGAAACACATCTCAGGGACATGGAACAACCTCCGAACAATCCGGACTACGCGTGGGAATATTGTAATAAAACAGAAGACAGCAGAAAGGGGGGTGGTATTGGGGCATTCATTCATAAAAGTACAGACTGGCAAAGGGTCAAGCAGGAGTGCAAGGAACATTTATGGCTAAAAGGGAAAGTGGCAGGTCAAATGACACTCCTTGGTTTCGTGTACTTGTGGACGAGAGCAAAGGCCAGAGAGGAAAACCAGACAATGGTAGAGTGTATATCAAAGGACATTCAGGAGTTAGGAAGAGAGTTCGAGATAATTATACTAGGAGACATGAATGCGCACATAGAAGATATAGATGGGTATACCGACCCGACAGGCAAAATGATCATGGATATGTGTGAAAGGCTTGATTTGATCACTTGCAACAGTACCGAGAAGTGTAAAGGGCAAATAACATGGGAGGTAGGAAGGCTTCAGTCGACGATAGATTATGCACTGATGTCACATAGGATGTATGATAAGCTCAGGGGAATGCACATAGATGAAGGTGGCTCCAGAAGTCTGGGTAGCGATCACAAACGTATCAAGCTAAGTTTTGTAAGAGCAGTGAAAGTGGGAAGGAGACAAGATGAGCAACTACAGGAAAATTTTTATCCAGAAAGGCAAATTGAAATAGCCACGAAACAAATTGAGAAAGTAATCACGGAGGATAATAAGACAGTGTGGACATACACAAATCTATTTAGACTGTTTGAGCTAGAGCTTGCTAAGGTACGTGACAAGTCACCCCGGAAAAGAAGACAAAAACCCAAGAGTGGTGGTATGAGGCAGTTAAGAGAGCCGTAGCAAAACATCAGGAAGCCTCTAGGGAACACAGGCATGCTGAGTAGGGGGGTGAACCGACAGATGATGTTGAAAGAAAATGGGACATCTTTCTAAGCTGTAGAAGGGAAGCATCCCTTCTGATCAATGAAAAGATTAGAAGAAAGGGGGCTCAGTGGCTGGCAGAAGTACATAAAAAATAGAAATGCAGCTGCGAAATTTTGGAAAGATCAACTCCCTAAGAAATGAGACGAGCCTAGAGCAGAGGTTTATAACTACAGCTCAAGGTGCTTGCGTAAAAGGGGACGAAGCTATTGAATATATAAGAACAAGGGTGACACAAAATTTTCAACAAAGAAGTGCCCTATGCACCACAATAGACAAGGATGAATCAAGTGGCATAATGGCTCCATTTTCACAACGAGAGTGGGAAAGGGCTGAGAAGAGAGTTCCTAGTAGTACATCGACAGGCCCAGATGACATTCCAATTATGCTGATAAAGACATTGGGTCCGAAGTGTAAGCAGACTTTGAGAGAGGCAGCGAGCAAAACAATAATCGATGGTGATAGAAGTCCCCGATGGATGGAAACTTGCAGGATGAGCATGATCTATAAAGAAAAAGAGGGACAAAGCTGACATAAACAACTACCGTCCTATAACAGTGACATCAGTGGTCTACAGGCTGGCGATGCAGATTATAAAGGAAAGACTGCAGTCATAGGTAGAGGATGAGTTGGTGCTGGGGAAACAGCAGAATAGGTTTTGGACACACGGGAGGTTAGAAGATAATCTGTTCTCACTGACGCAGTGCATAGAAATAGCAGAAAAGAAACATATGTACAGGTTCCTGTGGCTAGAATTTTTGGATACCAATGGAGCGTAAGACAGCGTGGTTCAAAAGGACTTGTGGGGAATACTGGACACACTAGGTGTGGAAGATGGAGTCAGTAATCTTTTAAAAGATATCTATAAAAGTAACAAGGTAGTTATAAAGTGGGAAAAACAGGTATGCAAGCCCACAGAGGTAAAACGGGGGCTTAGGCAAAGGTGTCCTCTGTCACCCTTGTTATTCATGATGTATCTACAAGGATTAGAGTCCAAATTAGAGGGAAGTGGACTTGGCTTCAACCTCTCTTTCGCCAAACAAGGAAAACTCATTGAACAGGCAATTCCAGCATTGATGTACGCGGATGATATAGTGCTATATAATGGCCGACAACAAGGAAGATTTGCAGAGATTGATGGACATCTGCGGTAATGAAGGAGATAGGTTAGATTTCAGATTCAGTAAGAAAAAATCAGCAGTCATGATTTTAATGATAATGAAGATAGTGTGCTTAGGATACAAGAGGTCACGCTAGAAATAACAGATAAATACAAATATATGGATGTATGGAAAAGCAATGGGACCGAGTACCTAATGGAACACGAAATATACGTAACGACTAAAGGTAACAGGAATGCAGCAGTGATGAAAACTAGGGCACTGTGGAATTACAATAGATATGATGTTGTGAGAGGAATATGGCAAGGGGTCATGGTTTCTGGTCTGACGTTCAGCAATCTGGTCTTGTGCATGAGATCAGAAGTTCAAGCCAGATTAGAAATTAAGCAACGTGGAATAGGTAGGCTTGCTTTAGGAGCTCACGGTAATACACCAAATCAGGGAGTACAAGGTGATATGGGATGGATATCATTTGAGGGAAGGGAAGTTAGCAGCAAGATAAAATTTGAGAAGCGATTGAGAGACATGG